TCTCTTCAGCAAACAGCGGAAATCCAATTACAAGCAGATCGCGCAGACATAGCGTCGTCGTTCCTTTTTTTTCTCATTATTTTCCCTTTTTTTTTTAACTTCTTGCACAATGACTCAAAAAAGTGCCGGAAAACGAAAAAAAAAAAAATGGGGATGTGCAAAAAAGTCTGGCGAAAATACCTCAGTATGTTTGTAGATATATATTGTATATATATATAGCACATATAGGAAAAAAAAGAGGGAGACTTTTAAATTGTTGTTCGGGGAATTGAAATTCAGACACATGTAAAATCTGCATACACATGTGTAAGTACACTTGTGTGATTTATGCAGCCATAAATTGGGTGTCATACTTTGCCAGCTTAATAAATTAAACCATTTTCTGGTTTCTGCAATCAAGTCGAATGTGCAATCAATTTAATGGCAATTTTCCCAGATTAATTGACTGTCAAATAGTTTTGTTTTTGAAGCTTTGACAGGTCTTGCAATGCCAGGTATAGGTTTTCTATCGACGCTTTATCGATAAAACGATTGTTCAGGATTTTTAAAGATCTATGTATATACTAAAAAAAAATATATATAGCCCAGTGTTCTATATTATAGGTTTGCTAATCTTTTGGCTGCTTCCCCATATTCATTTATCGCATGTGATAAAAAGTAAAAACGACAATAGCCCCAAACTTATTTGCTTTTCTGGGGGGCTTTCGGTGGATTCTACAAAGCGTGCCGACTCTTTGGACTCTTATCAGCCAGCAGCAACAAAAAAGTGAATTTCTTATCAAAGAACCAGCTAAAAAACCGCATACCAATAATGCTGACCGGCCCCCAACAAATATAATATATAAACTTAAGCCACTCTATAAATAGAGCACAAATAGTGGAGAAAACCAGAAATTTAATGAGGCACTTGTATATTATTCCGCATCTTCGGGCAATAATCACTTATTGTTTATATGTATACATGAGTTCCCAAATTGAATGCCCAATATCACAAATTTTACCCGTTCATCATGGCGTATACGCAATTTGCAAATCAGCTTATTGTTTGGCTTTCATTGCTTTGTTTTCAGTTTCCGATGCAAATAAGCTTACCGAAGATGTTCGATTAATTACAATGTAGGTAGTGCACACAATCGACTTACCTGTAAAGATAAAAGGGGAGTAAATAGTTAATTAGCAGGTCTTACAGGTTGTTACATGGGCATAATACATTATCGATAATCATAAATTGAGATGTTTTATTACTATTATATTACTATAGCATTCAGTAGACTCATTGAAAACTTAACACGAGATTAAAAATCTATCGATATCTGAATGAAAGTTATAGCAAAGATATCGATAAATGATAAAATACAACCGTTCGTTGTTTTACTACCAAATATCAATAATCTATATATTTATTCAATGTTATGAGGCCTAGAATGTATATAAATCTCCGTATTTTCGGGGGATCATCTTTTTAATTAAGAGACAAATGTTTTTTGTATTTAATAGGATTAGTATTTACATAGTCGCCTTTCCGAGTAACCACTGTACCATCATCAACGACCTTTAAAGTGCTCGAGGAGGTGAAAACAAGTGGGTGGCTATATTCCCAGCTGCTTATTGGATACGTTGGATGCTACTGCTTATGTTGGGGTTCGGGTTTTTGAGGTTTTTGTTTGCCTTTGTTGTTCTTTACTTTATTTCGGTGACAAGTTGAGCAGATTAACATTTTACGCAATTAATACGAAAGGAAAATAACAGGCGTTAAATGCTAATTGCCAAATGTGAAACAAACAGATGACGGCAAAAAAATGGGATTGGAGTGGTTTAAGCGGGTGTTGCAAAAATCAGCCCCCCCTGTGTTTTTTGTAGGGGTGTGCAACCTTGAACTTTGACCTCGCAGCATTCTAATCTGCGCCTAAAATTTGATTGCTCAGAACACAACAAAAAAGAAAGGAAAGGAAAGTCGCTTTTCTCTTCGCTTTTCTCTGGCGACGTCGCTGTCGACGTCGCAGCAGCGCCACCTGAGCTGAGACCCCCCCACATCTTCCTTCTCTTTCACAACGAGTGCCGACAGTTGCCCCGTCTCTTTCTTTTGATTTCTGAAGGATATATGGCAGGATGGCCAAGTAATAATTAGTCCCAAGTGGGTTTCACAGCAAGCAGCTTACCGATTGCAGAAAACCCAACATGGGCGGGGAAAATGGGGTCGAAAATAAAGGGGGGGGTTGGTCGATTCATCGAGCATAATGGCCAGCAGGGTATTATCCGTCTGATTGGAATGCCTTAAGTCGAGTATTTGCTTGCGGATCCGTTCGTAATTGAGTTAGTCCATTAATCCACATATTCGTTCGGTATTCATACGATAATCACTTGGTTTCTAACCCTTCACCATTAATAGAGATGGAAAACGGTTGATAATTGGTGCTATCGATTGGTTTTACAGGTCAATGTATGATTGAAGTATTTCTTTATCATCTTTAAAAAGCAAATATAGAAAAAATATTTAAATAAAATAGTTACAAGTATGATAGGTTTGTTTTTGCTTGTATTTAAAGAAATTCGGATTTTGCAAATTAATAAGTAACAACAACCTTAAACGCAGGTGCATTATCTTGCCTTCATAAATTTAAATCAGTACGTATTTTCGTCATAATAAAACCTTTTTTAAAGACATAGTACCCCAAACAGTATAAATTAAAGTCCCATGACTCCTTTCAGTGCGGTTTTCAATGGTCCAGAATTTAATTTCTACATTGCTCAAACTAATGAATATCACATGCTCTGATTGATCCTCTTGGGTTATTCATTAGAACGTGTGCTCTGTATCGCATGTGCCAGCAGATCGTGTGCTATCAAAATTGCTTGCAATTTGAACGTAGTTTTTTTTCACTCATTGCTGATTTCTGTTTCGCGTTTTGTTTTCTTTTTTTTCAGTTAGATAAGCTTCGCTTTGCATGGGGACTCGGTCATGCTTTATTAAACAAATGGCACAACTCGCGGGTAGAAGTATAGTTTATGAATAGAATTCTAACAACTTAATTACAGATATCGCAGAAGAGAGATCCCCAGAGGGAATGGTACCAGCGGGTACATCATCACGGAAACTTTCAATATTAAGCATTTAAAATTTATTGCCCTTAGGGATGAATGTCATTACAGAAAACATAAATAATATACGGAAGATTATATTGTACTTGTTCTGATTATTTTTTTTTTTTTTTGAAAATCGCTTCAAATCGAACCTCATGTAAAGGGTTATTAAAATATGAGAAAACGAGTTCAAGATACAAATATAATATAATCTCCCTAGGTAATAGCACCAATTTTGATACCCTATCGATCATACTTCAGTCTCATTAATGTTTATCAATTATCAATGAAACTGCGAATTCAAGATACCGATACTGGCTGTAATGGCTCGAATTTCGATAACTTATCGATAGCACATCTTTCTAGCCGATATAAAAATGGCTGATGTAATTTATCAACTAAAATCGATATGGGTACAGGTTTACAAATCGATTCTACAATACCAGTAATCAAAGAAATCTTTCAATTTGTTATTATGTTATCGATAATTCCGATATATTTTCTACGATAGGAGTCAATTTACTAACTATTGGATATAGGGAATTCAGGTAAAACTATATATTTTCTTTCTGCGCAAGAATAGGTCGAATTGCGATAACGTTTTGATAGTTTCGATATTAACTTAAATCGATATTGATTACTGTGTGTAATACAGAAGCTGCCAAAATACCAACAAACAAAGAAAGCGTTCAACTTGCAATACGCTATCTATATAAAGCAATCCCTGAATTTGCGATAACTTATCGATATTCGAAAAATCAACTAAAATCAAGATGGGTTGGAGTCTACATTACAGATGGAAAATTGCCAATTAGAGGTTGGTGAAAGTCACAACAATTTTTTCATGCGGAACAGCGATCGCTCGAGTTCCGATAACTTATCGATAGGTCCACACCCTCACCTAGATGGCGAATTGCGGAAGTTGTAGCAGCAGCAGCAGAACGAGCACACCATATACACCAGGAAGTTGATGCTGCCGCACCACGTCGACGTCGAAGTATTACCGCTGCAGCCGCTGCTGCCGCCGATGCCGATGCCGCTGCCCGTGAGCGTACCGCTCGAGTTTTGCTCCTCGCTGGCGGTCGCTGCGCAGCTGCTGCTATTGTTGTTGGTATGCAAGCCGGCAGCGCCCGCTGCCGCAGCGATGATTGATGCTGCCGATGATTTGCGACGTCCCGCCGCTGCCGCTGCTGCCGCCGCTGCTGCTGCCGTCGCTGCTGACGTTGCAGCGCTGCTTGTTTCGCTGCTCTTTTGCCGCAGAAAGCGTCCCAGTCGCGGGGGGGCGTGGCTCTCGAGGGCGGGCGGGGCGCTGCTGGTGGACCGCTTGCGCTCTGCCGACGTCGCTGCTTGCTTCAAACGCTGCTGATCGTCGACGAACGAGATTTGCTTCCACTTTTTCTTCTTCTTCACTTTGGCGGTGGCTTTCAGAAGATTTCGCGATCTATATGTTGTGGTTGTTGTTGTTGTTACAGTTGTGGGTGTTACAGTTGTAGGAGTAGTTGTTGTTGTAGTGTTTGCTGTTGCTGTTGTTGTTGCTGCTGCTGCTGCCGGCGGCGTTGGACGCGCTGCAACGACGACGTCGGCGTCGTCGTCACTTTTGGCCGCCAGTTCAGAAGCTCACACGCACACACACATGAGTACTAGGCGCACGCACACAATCACGCAGGCAGAGCGCTGCGTCGACGTCGCGGCGACGGCATTCTAGAATTTTACGAGAATTTTTTTAAAGAGATTTTACGGTTTTAAATATATTTCAATCGAAATTGCAGTTTGTAAATTGAAAATTAATTTTTTTAAATTTTTTTTCTTAATTTAAAAACTGATATTTTTGAACATCTTAAAATTTTATTTTTCTAAAACTTTCGTAGAATTGAAGAGTATTTTTTGTAAGTCATTAGTTTTTTTTATTTTTATGTGTGGTTTCACACTGTTATTTGTTTAGCTTTTGAAATTCGATGTTGAGTTGGGTTCGGGATCTTTTTGGTTAATAATACAAATATAAAGCTTTTTATATTCTTTTTAGTCTTTTATTTCGGTTTGAAGAGGTTTATACTGCTAAATTAAGATTTGTGTGGTGGTTTAGATAATTTGTTAATTACTACTTTAAAAATTGAGTTGTAATGGATTTTTCAGTAGTTTTGGTTCACTTTATGTTTAGAATCTTTTATTGTTTATTGTTGTTGTTCCTAGAAATTAAAATCGACTTTATGCGGTGGTTTGAAGATCATTACTATTAAAATATTGTTATTTTTTTTAAAGATTTTCACAATGTTTTTGTTTTCTAATGTACGATTCCACAGAATTTTCTTTTAAATTTTTGCATATTACAATTTTTTTGACTATTATATTTTTAATATTTGTATTTTTTTGACTTTATTGGGGTACCACACTTTGTTTTATAATTTTTTCCTATTTAATTTAATACTTGTAGTATTTCGGAATTGTACCTAGTTATTGAGAATCTTAAATTTTTACTTGGATTTATTTTAATTTATTTCAATACTCACTCTCAATTACTGTTATGTTTCTTGTTTTCAAAAATTGGTTTTGTCTACTGAACTTTTTTTTAGTTTATTGTATATTTAACTACATTTAGAGTTTTAGTTGTGGCTCTTCTATTGTCTTTGTTTCTATTGTTTGCTATTTAACAATTTAGTAATATTGGTTTTATATGGAGTATTTTGATTTATTGTATTTTCACTGAGGGGTTTTATTGTAGCATGTATTGTAGTTTTGGGTTTTTGGTATATTTGGAATTTCGGCGACTTTGGCGATTTTCTTGGCTTTACGAATTTGGAAGATTTTTTGGTTGCATTCGGTTTTTTGTGTGTGTTTTCTATTTTTTATTGTGCTTTGCTGGCACGCTTTTTAGCTTTTTTTTTTTGATGCCGCCCTTTGTTTGTTTGATTTTTGTTTTGTTTATTTTGCACTAACTTTTAAACGACTTGTTGTATATATATTTTTGTTGTAATTACTGGCAATACTTTTTGGTGTATTTTTCGCTTTATTTTTTTTTTGCCGCTTATCATTCCACTCTGTTATCTGTTATCTTTATTTCTGCTGCTTCTTTTATGTAATTTACAGCTTCTCTCTCTCCCTCTCTCTCTCTCGCTCGCTCGCGTTGTGTTGTTGTTTTGCACACACGTGCGAGGGGCACTTGAAAAAAAAAATAGGTAAAACAAGAACAAAAAATACACACGGCAATGCTTTTTTGTTTACCGAATATTTAGCATTTACGATTTTTACGCGTATCCATTGTTTATTATGATTATGATTATGGTTTGTTGTTGTGGTTGTTGTTGCTATTTTGTTTATTTGTTGTTGTTTTATTATTATTTTTCAGGCGGCGCGCGCGCACACACACACGCACCCACACGCACACACACACACGATATGCGATAGGCGAGGCGCTGCGATGCTATTGTGGGACAAAATCCGCAGGAACGCTGCTTAAATAGACTTTTTCGCCCCAACCAGCCGCTCTCTCGCCGCGCGCCGCTCTCTTTGCCAGCGAAAGAGAGGCGAAGAGAGTGCGCCGCTGCAGCGACCGCACAACACTGCCGCAGAAAGCAGCGAAAATGGCAACGGCGGCGAAATGCGCCGGCAGCGACGTCGACTGCGGCAGAGGTGAGCGCGGCGAGCGGCGGCACAAAGGGAAAGAGCGCAACAAGAAGAAGCACAAAATGAACGCGTGCGCGTAAGAAATGAATGAATTTATTTTGTTTAAGTGTTGAATATCAATTTTGGGTTCATCCAAATAGTTTCCTGATTAAGCCAAAATATTTTATAAATATCACATCTATAATAAGAAAAAAAAGGTTCCAATAATACACAAACAAGCTAAAAGAATTTTCCGATTTTTATAATATTAGAGTATTTAAAAATTTAGCTTAATAAATAAAACCTGAAGGATAGATGCTTAATTGCGAGGTTCTGTTAAAAAATATATGAATATTGAATTTTGTTTCATTAAAACAGTTCCCTGATAAAGCCAAAATATTTTATAAATATCACATCTATAATATTAAGAAAAAAGGTTCCAATAACACATAAGATTAAAGAATTTTTCGGTTTTTATAATATTAGAGTATTCAAAAATTCGTTTAGCTTAATAAATAAAACCCCAAGAATAGATGCTAAGTTACGAGGTTCTGTTATAATATATATGAATATTGCATTTGGTTTCATTAAAACAGTTCCCTGATAAGGCCAAAATATTTCATAAATATCATATCTATGTTATTGAGAAAAAAAGGTTTTTAGATAAGATAAATTTTCTCTTTTTATTATATTAAAATAGTTAAAAATTAGTTTAGCTTAATAATTACGAAGTTTTGTTTTAATATATTTAAATATTGAATTTGGTTTCATTAAAACAGTTCTCTGATAATGCAAAAATCATTTCATAAATTTATCATACCAGTTTTATTAACCAAAAATTTAAAAATTATTTTAGCCTTATAAGTAAAACACTAAGCTTAAATGGTAAATTACGAAGTTCCAATTTTCTTTCTGGTGTTAAAAAATCCGAAAACTTCAGGTCATGGCGTTACAATTGAATCTGTTAAAAAATATAGTTCTTATTGTACAGTTTTAAGTATATGTGACTCTACATTTTTATTTTTTGCATTACAGACCTTAAGAAACTGATATCAAACACTCTTTTACTCAGTTTTAAGGGTATTTCAAGTTCAATACTACTGCAGATTGATTTTTCTACTCAATGAAGTGCGCAAAATAGTAGTAACATTATTATCTGGGGGTAAATCCAAACTTTGGACCAACTGACAGACAGAACTTGTTTATAAAATAAAGCTCCCGGACTTTTCAACTTTCTTATCGCTGGAGCATAACTTTTTGGCCATTCATTATTATTGTTTATTTCCCACTACTAACTATTATTTTTGCCGGATTTCTCTTTGCGCAGAAAGCGGCGCGCTCTTGATATTATCAGAATCGGAATTAGGAATTCGGAAACCCTCTGCCGACATCGCTGCCTTTATGCTTGTTGTTTTTGCTGTTGTTGCGCACTGCACTTGAAAACTTCATTTTACGCATCTTTTCTCTTTGGCAATTTGCATTTGAAATTGCATTTTGGATATTGGCAGGCTAATGACGATAATAATAATAATAATAGTACGTTATAAGGGGTCAAGTGATGGGCGCGGCGGCAGCGACGCCGGCAGAGGGGCAACTGCAGCGCTCGGCGGCGAACTTAAGTGGTTGACGTCTTCACTAAACACACTCGATAACAGGGTTTTGGATCAATCAAAAGTAGCTTATATTTCAAGAAACTTTGCCACGTATATTTAAAATTATCATCGATTTGCTTAATATATAATTTTGCCATTTGAATTTATTTATGCTGTGGATTTTTGAAATTTCAATAATTTCAATACTTTTATTCCGGTTATTAATAATAATGCTTTGCTTTACTTTAAAACCGCGCTGTGATAAAATAGGTAATATCATGCAAAATATGTGTCGATGGTTTAGATATGTGACATTATTTATTTATTTATTAGCAAGTCAAATTTTATATCGATTATTTCGATAGAAATATGGCTTTGTATGGCCATTTCTACAAATGTTCGGTAGTATCTATGCTTCAATTGTTAAGATAGGGGATAGCCATCTCAACAAAAATAAAGAAATGCCATTAAAGAAATCCATCGATAGTTCAGATAAGTGGTCATATATATTTATCTACTTGCGAGTAAAATTTGATATCGACTACTTCGATAGAAATGAATCTTTAATGCCATCGATTTATTATATAAGTGGCCATACATATCTATTTATTTACTTGCGAGTAAAATGTAATATCGATAATTTCGATAGAAATGAAGCTATAATTTTATCGATTGATTAGATAAGTGGCCATACTTATTGATCGACTTGCAATTACGTTTTGCTATCGATTATATCGATAGAGATACCGCTTTGCAGCCCTCCCTACTCTGTGGTCCAGTGTCATTATGCGACTCTCTGTTGTGGCATTTGGGGGCATGGGGCATGGTCGGCTTTGATTGCTAGCTTAGATGGTGACCCCTGCCCCGAAACTCTACCTCAGCCCATCCCAAGCCCACCTTATGCTGCACTCAGTGCCGGCATTTCGTTATTAGCTCTTAAGCTGCCCCAGGTGCCTCAAGGTGCTGCACGCACAAACAAAAGGAGAACCGAGAGCTGAGAGCTGAGAGCTCTAGGGGGTCGTGGGTCGTGGGTCGGGGGTCACCTAAAAGTTTCAAATTTCGCTCGGCCCAATAAAAATAAACAAAGGAGGCCCGGGGCCGGGGGTAGAGTGGCCTGAAATGAGCCCTGGGCTCGGATTGCAATTATCCTGCGAGAGTTATCCATCAAAGATGCCGCTCGCCACTTGTTCTAATGAAAATTTGCTGACATTCTCAAGGAGTCGGGAAAAGTCGGTGGATGAGGTTGTTTCGGGAGAACAGGTGGAAACGGAGCACCTTTCGCCATTTTTCGGCGTTATGGTTATGACCGCCCCGAACCAGATGGTATCGCGGCTCTACGGTCTTTGGCTTTAAACAGCCGAAAGGAGATCCTTCAAAACGGGAATTAACTGTGCCAGCGAGGGGGGTTCTCTGAGCTACTAAGGTACACTACACAGAGAGAATTATTCAAGTAATTTGCACTCATATTGAGAATTTTTGAAATTGAAGAGCACATTTCCTCAAATTGAGAATTTTGAGATTAATTCAAGTTTTTTTTTCTTAAAATGAGTCCAATATTTCTTAATATGAGCTTTTTCCCCGAATGTTGTACTTAAATGCAGTACATCCTCAAATTGAGTATACAATAACTTGATTTGAGAACGCCATAATTTTCTCTGTGTAGATACCAATTATAATAATATATTTATCTTTGTATCTCAACTGAAGACTATTGTATATCTTTATTAATAATTATCTAATAATAGAACTTCCCTATATGGGTTATCTAATAATAGAACTTCCCTATATGGGTTCTTCACCTCACGAAAATAGTAAAACCTATATGTGAACCCCCTAAATAAATGTTAGACTTATCTTTAGCAAATATAAATGTCTAAAATATTAATCGAATTGGTTTACTTCAATGAATGGAACCTAATCAGCTGTTATATTTATTTCCCATGTAATATATAGTTTTATAATCCCATTTTCCATGAGGAATATTTGAAACATATCGCAGAGATATATACCAGCAATTAGAATACACAGAATGGCAAAAAAGTTCTAGTTTCCAGTGATAAATTCATTTGCACCTGAGTTTTTGTCAACTTTATTTTACAAAATTGTTATTTATACCCCCTGTTTGAAGGAGTCCTGTTCCTTCCTGCCCGTAAACCCCCTTAATCTATTTCCCCGCCGGCCTGTGTCCACTTTTGCTTTGACAAACAGCCACAACAATAAAAAAGGAGCTGAAAAAATAGAGAGGCGGAGAAAAAAACAGGAAACTAATGGATGGGCAATGGCACCCAAGGGGGCGGGCTGAGGGGGCGTGGCAGGGTTCCTGGGGATATATATACATATATATAGGCATGTATAACACCCGGTGGAGGGTGCTCCTCCGGTTGTTTGTTTGAGAGATTTTTCGGGGACGGCCGTGAGTCAAATATTTGTGACAAAAACGTTTGGTTTTATTTTCGCCACTCGGGAAACTCGAATTTCAGGAGGGGTTTTCAAGGGCAAAATTACCTGAATTGTTTAGGTATTTTGTCGACACTCTTATATTGGTCGAATTAAAGCCAACTTTGAGTTGTTTGGGTGATTACTTTTCGCGAAAACATTTGTAAATAACAAACAGCATTGGTGAACAATTGTTATATGTTATTATTCTAACCCGAATCAAATAATTGTTAATATTAGTACTTTATTCAAGATTTTAAGTCTATCCTGGCTTTAAGCATTCATTTTTGATTACAGACAATTTCAGGCGGTTTTCTGTTTAAAGAAAATACAATATAAATAATTTTTCATTGTTTTTCTCCGAAAAGAAAAATTGGCAAATAACTGGAAGCGTTGGTAGAAATATTTAATATACTGTTCTCATAGCAAAACAGATGTTATTTAAATTTATTTTATTTTCTTAGGAAAATTCAATTCATGTTAATAGGAAATTCCAAGAAGTTGTTGTGCTTATCCTGGCATGAAATTTTCATTTAGGGTTTCTATTTACATAGAATTTCAGGGGGTTTTGCTGTTTAAAGAGCCAGTTGAATCCAAGCTGAGTAGTTTACAACAGAAAACATTTTTCATTATCTCATTTCTCCGAAAATTGTTAACTTTAAGCGAAAACAGCGGTAAAACTTTGGAAGCGTTGATGGTAATATCAACAATGATAGTTTTATACCAAGAAGATTATTATTTAAAGTTGTTTTTTATTTCCTGGAAATATTCAACTTATGGTAATAAGTATTTCTTGGAATATGAC